ACTTCAACTCCCAGAATTCCCCAGCCAGGGTGGAATTCTGGGAGTTGAAGTCCACACATCTTCAAGCTGCCAAGGTTGAGAAACACGTGTTAGAGCAATGTCCAAACTACAAGCTGCTTACCCTGTGGAGCTGGTGAGTCACAAAGGCAGCTTCAGGCCTATGCTGCATTTATCAGCATTTTAGGATTAGGCTGATTCACTTCTGTGCTCATCATATTATAATCCAGAATGAACTCTGCCATTCTGGAGAAATACGTCTTGGTTGTCATCTTGTTTACTCTGTTTGAATCAGTCACTAGGAAATTGGAAGTCCAACTGTTCAACATTATGAGTAACATTTGAACGGAAGAAAATAAGTTATGAGTAACAGTTGAACTGAAGAAAATAAGCATTAGCCTTGAGAAATAGTTTATTTCTTTTTTTCTTTCTCTCTCTCTTCTCTGATCCACTTCTTGTTGTGACTGACTCCTTTATTGCAAACTTTGCAGCCTATTATTACTTATTCTTGTAATAAAGTTGCAAGCAGCAAACGTATTTGCATCAATTTTGCATGTTGGAATAGATGATTAACAAAATATTATTATGCCTGTACGTTTGTTTTAAATCCATCAGTCATAGAAAATAAAGTATCCTGAAATACATTGATCTTAATCCAAATACTATTTGTTCAGGAACCCGAGCTAATTTTTTCAGCTTTTGAAGTTCAGTCTTAAGATGTACAATGCTAAAACCATTCTTTCAGCTGAATTTGATACCTGAACTGGTTCTCCCACTTTAGGATTCCTGAGATCTATGCATTATTTAAATTCATTTGCTGTGATTCATAATGAGTATTTATTTTCTCCAACCTTTTCTCTCTGTGGTAGATGTCTCTCCATCCCAGCTACTGCAGGTTTTTGCAAGTAACCGATTCGGCTGGAAAAGATGTGCAACATAGGTTCAAAATATCACCACTGGTGGAGATGCTGCCCAGTGTAAAGTTACTGGGCAACGGTGCTCTCACACATCAGGAAAGAGTGCCATGAATGGCCATTGTTCATTAATG